TGTTTGTTAAATGAATTAAAGTGAACAAGCGCATGCACACAGACAGATACACACACACTCAGTGCCATTCAAAATCCTATTTTCCCTAACCCCAAAATCTAACCCTAGCTTCTGGTCCCCACAAGTATAGTTAAACACTACCGCACACACACACACACACACACGTGTCATGATTTTGTAAGATAACAATTCTATGGCCCTTTGTTTCCCTCAAGTGGTTTTACTGGTCAATGCTTTTCACTTTACAGCAACTAAGGTTTGGTACTTTTTTTGTGCATTTATGCTATTGAGTATGTTAGTCTACATATATTTCAGTTTTTCACTTTCAGAATTGGTCTCAAATTCTGGGAGCTACACTACAAGTATGTGGACACCTGCTCATCGAACATCTCATTCCAAAATCATGGGCATTAATATGGAGTTGGGCAATTAGGCCTAGCTCGCAGTCTTAGTTCCAATTCATCCCAAAGGTGTTCGATGGGATTGAGGTCAGGGCTCTGTGCAGGCCAGTCAAGTTCTTCCACACCGATCGACAAACCATTTTTGTATGGACCTCGCTTTGTGCACGGGGGCATTGTCATGCTGAAACAGGAAAGGGCCTTCCCCAAACTGTTGCCACAAAGTTGAAAGCACAGAATCGTCTAGAATGCCATTGTATGCTGTAGCTTTAAGATTTCCCTTCAATGGAATTAAGGGGCCTAGCCCAAACCATGAAAAACAGCCCCAGACCATTATTCCACCTCCAAACTTTAAGTTGGCACTATGCATTGGGGCAGGCTACGCGCTTCAGCACTTTGCGTTCCCGTTCTGTGAGCTTCTGTGGCCTACCATTTAACGGCTGAGCAGTTGTTGCTTCTAGACATTTCCACTTCAAAATAATAGCACTTACAGTTGACCGGGGCAGTTCTAGCAGGGCAGAAATTTGACTGACTTGTTGGAAAGGTGACATCCTATGACGGTGCAATGTTGAATGTCACTGAGCTCTTCAGTTAGGCCATTCTGCTGCCAATGTTTGTCTATGGAGATTGCATGGCTGTGTGCTCGATTTTATACACTGGTCAGCAACAGGTGTGGCTGAAATAGCCGAATTCACTAATTTGAAGGAAGGGGGATCCACACTTGATCCGGGTGTTCACACTTGGTCCCTTTCTGCAAATTTGTGAACTCTGTGCAGTTCACTGAATTTTTTGTGCAGTGTGACCTCTCCAAAGACCCCTAAAAAGAGCGCCCGAAGGGAACCGAACTGAGACCATCTTGAGGTGATCAGAGTTCAGCTTGCTTGAATTCTGCAGTCTGGTTCCCTTTTTTAGCACACTGAACAAAGCTCCCCAGGTTCTCGTCATTATTCCCGTACCACACACTAGACTACTGCAACACTGTTTCCCCTGCCATAAACCCTCACACTAGACTACTGCAACACTGTTTCCCCTGCCATAACCCCTCACACTAGACTACTGCAACACGTTCCCCTGACATAACCACACACTAGACTACTGAAACACTGTTTCCCCTGCCATAAACCCTCACACTAGACTACTGCAACACGGTTTCCCCTGCCATAAACCCTCACACTAGACTACTGCAACACGGTTTCCCCTGCCATAAACCCTCACACTAGACTACTGCAACACTGTTTCCCCTGCCATAACACCCTCACACAGACTACTGCAACTGTTTCCCCTGCATACCCTCACACTAGACTACTGCAACACTGTTTCCCCTGCCATAACCCTCACTACACTGCACACGATTCCCTGCCATAAACCTCACACTAGATTCGCACACGTTCCCTATAAACCCCTCGAACACCGTTTCCCCGCCATAACCCTCACATAGATCTGCAACACTGTTTCCCCTGCCATAAACCCTCTAACACACACTGTGCCATAAACCTCACTTACTGCAACACGGTTTCCCCTGCCATAAACCCTCACACAGACTAGACAACTGTTTCCCCGCATAAACCCCACATAGACTACTAACACTGTTTCCCCTGCCATAAACCCTCACACTAGACTACTGCAACACCGTTTCCCCTGCCCCTGACATAAACCCTCACACTCGTGCCACAAGAGAGAGATGTGCAGGTTCACAGAAAAAAAGTGTGCAGTTTTGGGATATTGATTAGCGATTGGAGTTTTTAGTTCAGATTATTTATTTGCAATATGTGATCTATAGGCTAAAAGCTTCATAGGCTGCTTATTCGATAGTGGGGTTTGAATTGTGTGAGAAGACACATATTTGTTGAGAATCACAACATAGGGACAAAATCAAATTCTAGCTCAGTTGGTAGAGCATGGCGCTTGCAACGCCGGGGTTGTGGGTTCGTTTCCCACAGGGGGCCAGTATGAAAAATATATGCACTAACTGTAAGTCGCTCTGGATATGGGCGTCTGCTAAAATGTAAAAATGGAAGTAGCCTACATTGGGTGTACAACTTTCAATTACATAATTATTTAAATCTGTAGTTATTATTCTGCTATTTATTCTGTTATCTATAATATTTACATGTTAACAGTATCTTATTACAATTATGTCTCACCTTTTAGGTAAATGCAATCGATTAGCTTTACAATTTAAGTAGGTATATCAAGCTGTCCGATAACACGATCTGATGGAATGGCTTATCTTGCACTTTGTAAAAACCCAGAGTGCATTGAGTGAATGTTGGAAAAAGACCTTGGTTCCTTTCTAAACATAGCAATGTGAATACAAAGGGGACTCGGACCACTAAATCGGTGAAGTGAACTGGCAAAAGAGTTGAGTCCTCATTCAAAAGCAAGGGCAGTGTGAATACAAAGAGAACAGAGTTATTTTTCTGTTTTACCCCAGAGTTCACTTTAAAGAGGACTGAGATCAGTTCTTTTAAAAGAGGACTGTGAAAACACCCTCACAAACACCGCTCAAGCTCAGATAGCTCAGCCGCCGTTAATCGCACAGGCTAATGGTTGGTATCAGCGGGTGCAGAAGAAATAGAAGAATACATTGCAAAAAAGAAGTCTGTAGCTCAAACACAATGTTTAAAAGGGGTTGGAAGCACTAAAACACACTGGTGTGCCCAGGAGAGCTTAGTGCAAGTTGTTTCACCACACTATTAGTCAGATATTTCTTGATCCTTCTTACTATCAACATTAGGATAGGGGAATCTGATCCTAAACCTGTGGTTTAGGGTAACTTCTACCTCAAGCTAATTTACATACCAGACCATTGCTCCCATTACCCAAACATTTTTCCTTGTTGTTCTCCAATCAAATCACTCCTCTAACATTAATATCGAGCGGGGGTTAGCTCCAGAGATCAACTCTAATCCTGTAATGTGTGAAGTAAATTTTCTCATCACACGCCTACACACATACAAAAACAATTTTTTTAAGAATACGCAAAAATTTATTAGACATGTTTTCTTGCTTCTAAAAAAAATGTGAGATTAAAATCTATGTAGTGTTGAATGAGTCACATGATTCAATTATATTACAATGTACATATAAAAACAAGTATGCAACAGGCAGTGGCCAGGCCAGACCCTGGCATTTTGGTTTCTGTATGCGACACTATTTGTGGAACGATGACGTAGCCAAGGGGTTTGGTGTCACAGGCATCTCCCCGGTCCATCATGTCTGTGACCCCCGCTCGCCATACGCTAGAGGTCAAAGTTCCTTTACCGAGGGGTCAGAGTCAGAGGAGGTCTCTACCCCCTCAAACAGAGCAATAGTTCAGCAGCAGAAACACAAAGCGCCAGAAAGTCCACATTTGTTCAAAGCAATTTTTTTTTTGAATACATCGAAAAACAATAACCAAAAAACACTGCATTTTTGGCACTACTAGAAAATCTAAACAGAAATACAGAAAAAAATATAGCTTTAAATAGCTCAGCCCTGGGCATCTGAATGTTCCGCCAAGGGTGTCACAGTCGTTAGTATTGATATCAGCATACGTTTTACAGTCTTAACAAAATATTTTAGCCCAACTTATTTTAATATTATCACTGGCAGATACCTTCTAGTTTAACAACTTATTCCAATTCAACCGAACAGCAGAAGACAAAAAGTACCAGTTTGCACATTCTCTCCCATGATCCTACCACCCGTGCTGCACGTAGGCATGGGTTTGTTTTTGTAACGATGGTCAGATAAAAGGTATGGCTCCATTCAGAGGAATACATCAGGATTTAGTCCATTCATGAATTGGGTTAGATTAACACACGTTATAAATCATCATCATCTTCATAGAAATCACTGTAGTCATCACTTCATTATCATATGTTAAACAATGTCTAATCTAAATGTGACATACCCCTTTTAGCAGTCATTTAGGGTTACAGGAGCAGTAAATTGGCAGCAGGCAGCACTACTAGCTACCACTAATGATGATTAATAATGCATGGCTGGGATGGCAGAGATCGTACACCATGAGCTTAATACAACAGGGTTGCATTCATTAGGGCACACCGTAGCAAAACGTGTTTTTTTTTTTTACCAGATACCAAAAATAAGCAGTTCCTATTGGCCCAAGTCCAGGTACTCCTGCCTGGTTTCAGACAGTTTTCTTCTGGCGGGTGCCTAATGAATACGACCCAGACACATTTGACTGGGAGGAATCGTAACAGTATTTACCTCCATGACAGGGAGGGGGGAGGGGAGGTCCACATAATCATCCCAACACAAGCACCTTCTCTGGGGATGGCAGAAGAGGGAGAGCCAGCAGTGCGGACGGAGAGTGTGTGTGAGAGACAGAAGGCGTTCAGTATCAGAGTGAAGGAGGGAGGGAAAGAGGAGGAGAAGGAAGGGGGTAGCTGTGTATATCGTCTCTGGTACATTCCTTCGTGGTGTGTTTACTGTAGGTGTGTATATTGTATAGGGAAGCCTGTCCACATGATAGTGGCTGTGTGTGACAGGGGTTACCCTGTGTGTGGCTGTGTCTCGCGGCTCTCTAGCCTGGTCCCAGATCTGTTTGGGATGTATGGCCAACGGTTCTAGGAGTTGGGCTACACGGCACTAAGCAGATCTGGGACCAGGCTAGTGCTGCTCGTGTCTGAAACCTCAGAGGAACTCCCCATTGATGAGGAGACCCCTGACAAAAGGCAATATGGGTCAAATGTATCTAAAAAATAATTTTAAAAAATAGGTTAATAAAATGTAACTAATTGCTGTAAACTATCTTGCTTTTGCTGGTCTATCTTACTGTTGTTGGTCTAGGTACTGGTTCTAATCAATTGTCAAAATAAGTAAATAGTTAATTGAAATTAGTCGATGGAATGGGGAGACCCCCTTGTTGGTAAAGCAACAGTGGTGGCTTGTGAGTTTTCGCTGTGAGTCAGTCAGTGCATCGTATGGATAGCCGTACGTCTTTCAATTTCAATGTACAGTACAGTGCATGTACTGAATGTCAGTGTATGAATGAGTACGTGTGTGTCAGTCAGTTTGCAAGTTAGCCTGTACGCCTCCCCTCAGATCTGTACACACACGTTAGCGTGTCCATCAGTTTCTTTTAGTTTAGCCGTTTCCCCCAGAAAGTGTCTCTGGTTAGCCATCTTGGCTCACATAGTCCCCAGGGGTTCTCCGTAGCGGATCTTCTGGCCAGCCTTCAGGTTGAAGGTGAAGTCGTGCGGAGCCTCGAAGAGCAAGACGATGGTGGAGCCCAGGTTGAACTCTCCCAGGTGCTCCCCTTTCCTCATGCTCACGCCCTCCTGGTTGTTGTTGGACAAGTAGCTGAAGTCGTTGTACGAGCCTTTGCTGTAGCGCGGGCTGTTGGTCCGCAGCTCCTGGTGGGGGGTGGGGGGGGGGGGGGGGATCAGTTTAGTAAATATTTGAGGAGAATAGTTTAATTGGACTAATCCCCATTAGACTATGAGCAGTGCAGCTGAATGAGGTCATATCCTCCTGTTGTGTTGTTGACTACGCCCAGGTTGAAACAGCTTGTATAACTGGCCTCCTCCTCGCTCTTCCTCTCATCGTCCCTTCTCATCTCATCTTTCTCATCTTGCCTCTCCTTCCCTCCCAATCCCCCCTCCTCTACTTTTTACTCCCTTCCCACCTGGTCAAGGAAAAATGTAGGGCCTAATCCTATACCAACTGAATCCGGAATCCTATGACTAGGGTCCAAAAACTAGGGAGTTTTTCCTGGTCATGTCACAATGTCACATGATAAGGAGAAACTCCTGACCCCATCTATTTCAGATGAAACAGGAGACAGCAGGCTGCGCCAGCAAGCAGAACGTCCGTTTATTGCCCTCCTCTCTGTTTACTGTCACAGGGAGGCAGCCCAGTGGAGGGTTGAGCCAGAGGACCAATCGCATTAGCCTGTCTGCAACCGAAGCGGAGATCCTATTGACCTCTAACCCCTACAGTAGGGAAGTGTGAGGGTGGGCTTTTAAAATGTCCACGTCATCCTAAGCCTCTGGTCTAATCAATGGGAGTCTACGGGACATCAGTCAGTTTAAACACAGTGAGTGGGAAGATTAAATAGGCCTACCGGTGTGTGTGTCGGCAGCTTAGGGAAATGGCCTGACGTAAAGGTATGTGAGACAGGAAGCAGAGGGAGCTGAAGGGAGTGAAAAGAAGTGGAACATGGCTCAGAGAGACAAGGGGTCAGTAACCCTGAGTCAGGCTGGCCCACTCGCAGATTTATGTCACACTGACTTTGTACTGCATGTACTGTTATGTCCTAATGGGTTAAGCAGGTGACCTTTGTCTCTGTCCTCACATTATCAGAGAAAGAGGTCACCATAAGTAGTACATCTAACGCCAGTTAAAAACATGTGTACGTACACTATAACTACACTGCTTGTCAATAGTATATAATTGTGGTGTAAATACATGTTTAAGAAACAATAGTGGGACCACTAACTTCGTTGCTCTCATTCAGAACTTCCTCTATGTATGGACAATGTCAAGGTCCCTAAATACTATGACGTGGAGAGACATTGATGCTGCACTATGCACCAGCCGGCGCAAAATGGATGAGTGAGTGAGTAAATACTAAGGCAGTACCAGAATAGGTTCAGACCAGTAAACAGCCAACCAACCTTGTCAAAGTAGATGCGTATGGAGCCCACGTTGGTGGCTCCTACGGCGGTGAGGGAGAAGAAGCCGTGCGTCCACTCTCCGCTCAGCACCACCCTCTCGTTATGGCAGAACAGTTCTTTGATCCAGCGAGCCAACGCCAGGGTTCACTGACATCAGAGAGCCTGGGAGGGACACAGAGAGGGAGCAGGAGGTAAATACACAGGTATACCGACACAGATACAAAACATGAGGTATAATACAAACACCGCAAGCAGCACTGTACATCCAGTGGCCAGTTTATTAGGTACACAACCCGGTTACGGAAATGGTTCGCTGCTACAGAACATGAGTCACGTGGCTGTGGCTTGCTATATAAAGCAGGCAGACAGGCATCGAGGCATTCAGTTACTGTTAGATTGAATGTTAGAATGGGAAAAACAAGTGACCTAAGTGACTTTGAGCGTGGTATGATTGTCGGTGCCATGCGCGCCGGTTCCAGTATCTCAGAAACGGCTGGCATCCTGGGCTTTTCACACACGACAGTGTCTAAGGGTTTACTGAGAATGGTGTGACAAACAAAAAACATCCTGTCAGCGGCAGTCCTGTAGGTGAAAACAGCTCATTGATGAGAGGTCGAAGGAGAATGGCAAGAATCGTGCCAGCTAACAGACAGGCCAAAAAGATGCAAATAACGGCGCATTACAACAGTGGTGAGCAGAATGGCATCTTGGAACGCATGACTCGTTGGTCCTTGTCACGGATGGGTTATTGCAGCAGACGACCACACCGTGTTCCACTCCTATCAGCTAAAAACAAAACGAAGCGGCTCCAGTGGGCACACAATCACCAACACTGGACAATTGAGGAGTGGAAAAACATGGCCTGGTTCGATGAATCCCGGGTCCTGTCAGGGTCAGGATTTGGCGTACGCAACATGAGTCCATGGCCCCATCCTGCCTGGTGTCAACGATACAGGCTGGTGGCAGTGGTGTAATGATGTGGGGAATGTTTTCCTGGCAACGTTTCCATGCCCCGAAGAATTAAGGCTGTTCTGGAGGCAAAGGGGGTCCGACCGAGTACTAGATGGGTGTAACTTATAAACTGGCCACTGAGTACAAAATATGATTTTAGGACTGTGCCATTTCAGATCAGATAGGAGTGAGTGGTAGGTGAGGCATGGCGAGTGAGTATGTAGAAGGATTATGATCAGAGGCGTCATGCACGTGCCCCCTCAGATTTGTCCTGTTAATATTTAATTTTGGTTGTTTCTCTGTAATACTACTAGGCACCTAATTTTATGAAGTTGGCTTTAGCTAGCCCAGATTGGGAACCTATCGCCCAACATCGTAACTACCTACCAAGAAGCCATTTCAGCCTATCTATCAATCAAGTTAGTTTGTCTTGATTTTGAATTTTAAAAGACCCCTAAAAAGGTATATCATTTATTTTAGATAAATATAGAGATAAATATATCTATATATATCTATATATACACTGCTCAAAAAAATAAAGGGAACACTTAAACAACACATCCTAGATCTGAATGAATTAAATAATCTTATTAAATACTTTATTCTTTACATAGTTAACTGTGCTGACAACAAAATCACACAAAAATTATCAATGGAAATCAAATTTATCAACCCATGGAGGTCTGGATTTGGAGTCACCCTCAAAATTAAAGTGGAAAACCACACTACAGGCTGATCCAACTTTGATGTCATGTCCTTAAAACAAGTCAAAATGAGGCTCAGTAGTGTGTGTGGCCTCCACGTGCCTGTATGACCTCCCTACAACACCTGGGCATGCTCCTGATGAGGTGGCGGATGGTCTCCTGAGGGATCTCCTCCCAGACCTGGACTAAAGCATCCGCCAACTCCTGGACAGTCTGTGGTGCAACGTGGCGTTGGTGGATGGAGCGAAACATGTCGTCCCAGATGTGCTCAATTGGATTCAGGTCTGGGGAACGGGCGGGCCAGTCCATAGCATCAATGGCTTCCTCTTGCAGGAACTGCTGACACACTCCAGCCACATGAGGTCTAGCATTGTCTTGCATTAGGAGGAACCCAGGGCCAACCGCACCAGCATATGGTCTCACAAGGGGTCTGAGGATCTCATCTCGGTACCTAATGGCTGTCAGGCTACCTCTGGCGAGCACATGGAGGGCTGTGCGGCCCCCCAATGAAATGCCACCCCACACCATGACTGACCCACCGCCAAACCGGTCATGCTGGAGGATGTTGCAGGCAGCAGAACGTTCTCCACGGCGTCTCCAGACTCTGTCACGTCTGTCACATGTGCTCAGTGTGAACCTGCTTTCATCTGTGAAGAGCACAGGACGCCAGTGGCGAATTTGCCAATCTTGGTGTTCTCTGGCAAATGCCAAACGTCCTGCACGGTGTTGGGCTGTAAGCACAACCCCCACCTGTGGACGTCGGGCCCTCATACCACCCTCATGGAGTCTGTTTCTGACTGTTTGAGCAGACACATGCACATTTGTGGCCTGCTGGAGGTCATTTTGCAGGGCTCTGGCAGTGCTCCTCCTTGCACAAAGGCGGAGGTAGCGGTCCTGCTGCTGGGTTGTTGCCCTCCTACGGCCTCCTCCACGTCTCCTGATGTACTGGCCTGTCTCCTGGTAGCGCCTCCATGCTCTGGACACTATGCTGACAGACACAGCAAACCTTGCCACAGCTCGCATTGATGTGCCATCCTGGATGAGCTGCACTATCTGAGCCACTTGTGTGGGTTGTAGACTCCGTCTCATGCTACCACTAGAGTGAAAGCACCGCCAGCATTCAAAAGTGACCAAAACATCAGCCAGGAAGCATAGGAACTGAGAAGTGGTCTGTGGTCACCAACTGCAAAACCAGTCCGTTATTGGGGGTGTGTTGCTAATTGCCTATAATTTCCACCTGTTGTCTATTCCATTTACACAACAGCATGTTACATTTATTGTCAATCAGTGTTGCTTCCTAAGTGGACAGTTTGATTTCACAGAAGTGTGATTGACTTGGAGTTACATTGTGTTGTTTAAGTGTTCCCTTAATTTTTTGAGCAGTATATATATATATATATATATATATATATATATATATATATATATATATATATATATATACAGTGGGGGAAAAAAGTATTTAGTCAGCCACCAATTGTGCAAGTTCTTCCACTTAAAAAGATGAGAGAGGCCTGTAATTTTCATCATAGGTACACGTCAACTATGACAGACAAAATGAGGAAACAAAATCCAGAAAATCACATTGTAGGATTTTTTATGAATTTATTTGCAAATTATGGTGGAAAATAAGTATTTGGTCAATAACAAAAGTTTCTCAATACTTTGTTATATACACTTTGTTGGCAATGGCACAGGTCAAACGTTTTCTGTAAGTCTTCACGAGGTTTTCACACACTGTTGCTGGTATTTTGGCCCATTCCTCCATGCAGATCTCCTCTAGAGCAGTGATGTTTTGGGGCTGTCGCTGGGCAACACGGACTTTCAACTCCCTCCAAAGATTTTCTATGGGGTTGAGATCTGGAGACTGGCTAGGCCACTCCAGAACCTTGAAATGCTTCTTACGAAGCCACTCCTTCGTTGCCCGGGCAGTGTGTTTGGGATCATTGTCATGCTGAAAGACCCAGCCACGTTACATCTTCAATGCCCTTGCTGATTTATTCAAACCAAGCTGCTTATCTATTGCAGATTAAGTCTTCCCAGCCTGGTGCAGGTCTACAATTTTGTTTCTGGTGTCCTTTGACAGCTCTTTGGTCTTGGCCATAGTGGAGTTTGGAGTGTGACTGTTTGAGGTTGTGGACAGGTGTCTTTTATACTGATAACAAGTTCAAACAGGTGCCATTAATACAGGTAACGAGTGGAGGACAGAGGAGCCTCTTAAAGAAGAAGTTACAGGTCTGTGAGAGCCAGAAATCTTGCTTGTTTGTAGGTGACCAAATACTTATTTTCCACCATAATTTGCAAATAAATTCATTAAAAATCCTACAATGTGATTTTCTGGAGAAAAAAAATCTCAATTTGTCTGCCATAGTTGACGTGTACCTATGATGAAAATTACAGGCCTCTCTCATCTTTTTAAGTGGGAGAACTTGCACAATTGGTGGCTGACTAAATACTTTTTTCCCCCACTGTATATATATACACACACATATATACACACACATATACCTTCAATGCTGCAGACATTTTTTGGTACCCTTCCTCATATCTGTGCCTCGACACAATCCTGTCTCGGAGCTCTACGGACAATTCCTTCGACCTCATGGCTTGGTTTTCGCTCTAACATGCACTGTCAACTCTTGGACCTTATATAGACAGGTATGTGTCTTTCAAAATCATGTCCAATCAATTGAATTTACCACAAGTGGACTCCAATCAAGTTGTAGAAACATCAAGGATGATCAATGGAAACAGGATGCACCTGAGCTCAATTTCAAGTCTCATAGAAAAGGGTCTGAATACTTTTCTGGGGGGGGTTATCTCCAGAAATTTGCAAACATTAACAAAAATCTGTTTTTCGCTTTCTCATTAAGGGGTATTGTTTGTAGATTGATAAGAATTAAAAAATTTTTTTGAATAAGGCTGTAATGTAACATTTGGAAAAAGGGAAGCGGTCTGAATACTTTCTGAAGTGTTTGTGTGTACAGTGGGGAAAAAAAGTATTTAGTCAGCCACCAATTGTGCAAGTTCTCCCACTTAAAAAGATGAGGCCTGTAATTTTCATCATAGGTACACGTCAACTATGACAGACAAAATGAGAAAAAGAAATCCAGAAAATCACATTGTAGGATTTTTAATGAATTTATTTGCAAATTATGGTGGAAAATAAGTATTTGGTAACCTACAAACAAGCAAGATTTCTGGCTCTCACAGACCTGTAACTTCTTCTTTAAGAGGCTCCTCTGTCCTTCACTCGTTACCTGTATTAATGGGACCCGTTTGAACTTATCAGTATAAAAGACACCTGTCCACAACCTCAAAACAGTCACACTCCAAACTCCACTATGGCCAAGACCAAAGAGCTGTCAAAGGACACCAGAAACAAAATTGTAGACCTGCACCAGGCTGGGAAGACTGAATCTGCAATAGGTAAGCAGCTTGGTTTGAATAAATCAACTGTGGGAGCAATTATTAGGAAATGGAAGACATACAAGACCACTGATAATCTCCCTCGATCTGGGGCTCCACGCAAGATCTCACCCCGTGGGGTCAAAATGATCACAAGAACGGTGAGCAAAAATCCCAGAACCACACAGGGGGACCTAGTGAATGACCTGCAGAGATCTGGGACCAAAGTAACAAAGCCTACCATCAGTAACACACTACGCCGCCAGGGACTCAAATCCTGCAGTGCTAGACGTGTCCCCCTGCTTAAGCCAGTACATGTCCAGGCCCGTCAGAAGTTTGCTAGAGTGCATTTGGATGATCCAAAAGAGGATTGGGAGAATGTCATATGGTCAGATGAAACCAAAATAGAACTTTTTGGTAAAAACTCAACTCGTCGTGTTTGGAGGACAAATAATGCTGAGTTGCATCCAAAGAACACCATACCTACTGTGAAGCATGGGGGTGGAAACATCATGCTTTGGGGCTGTTTTTCTGCAAAGGGACCAGGACGACTGATCCGTGTAAAGGAAAGAATGAATGGGGCCATGTATCGTGAGATTTGAGTGAAAACCTCCTTCAATCAGCAAGGGCATTGAAGATGAAACGTGGCTGGGTCTTTCAGCATGACAATGATCCCAAACACACCGCCCGGGCAACAAAGGAGTGGCTTCGTAAGAAGCATTTCAAGGTCCTGGAGTGGCCTAGCCAGTCTCCAGATCTCAACCCCATAGAAAATCTTTGGAGGGAGTTGAAAGTCCGTGTTGCCCAGCGACAGCCCCAAAACATCACTGCTCTAGAGGAGATCTGCATGGAGGAATGGGCCAAAATACCAGCAACAGTGTGTGAAAACCTTGTGAAGACTTACAGAAAACGTTTGACCTGTGTCATTGCCAACAAAGGGTATATAACAAAGTATTGAGAAACTTTTGTTATTGACCAAATACTTATTTTCCACCATAATTTGCAAATAAATTCATAAAAAATCCTACAATGTGATTTTCTGGATATTTTTTCTCATTTTGTCTGTCATAGTTGACGTGTACCTATGATGAAATTTACAGGCCTCTCATCTTTTTAAGTGGGAGAACTTGCACAATTGGTGGCTGACTAAATACTTTTTCCCCCCCACTGTATATATACATACATTACCAGTCAAACGTTTGGACACACCTACTCATTCAAGGGTTTTCCTTATTTTTACATTGTAGAATAATAGTGAAGACATCAAAACTATGAAATAACACATATGGAATCATGTAGTAACCAAAAAAGTGTTAAAACAAAATATATTTTAGATTTTAGATTCTTCAAATAGCCACCCTTTGCCTTGATGACAGCTTTGCACACTCTTGGCATTCTCTCAACCAGCTTCATGAGGTAAGCACCTGGAATGCATTTCAATTAACAGGTGTGCCTTCGTTAAAGTTAATTTGTGGAATTTCTTTCCTTCTTAATGCGTTTGAGCCAATCAGTTGTGTTGTGACAAGGTAGGGGTGGGGTGGTATACAGAAGATAGCCCTATTTGGTAAAAGACCAAGTCCATATTATGGCAAGAACAGCTCAAATAAGCAAAGAGAAACAGTCCATCATTACTTTAAGACATGAAGATCAGTTAATACGGAACATTTCAAGAACTTTGAAAGTTTCTTCAAGTGCAGTCGCAAAAACCATCAAGCGCTATGATGAAACTGGCTCTCATGAGGACCGCCACAGGAATGGAAGACCCAGAGTTACCTCTGCTGCAGAGGATAAGTTCATTAGAGTTACCAGCCTCAGAAATTGCAGCCCAAATAAATGCTTCAGAGTTCAAGTAACAGACACATATCAACATCAACTGTTCAGAGGAGACTGTGTGAAATCAGGCCTTCATGGTCGAATTGCTGCAAAGAAACCACTACTAAAGGACACCAATAAGAAGAAGAGACCTGCTTGGGCCAATAAACACGAGTAATTGACATTAGACCGGTGGAAATTTGTCCTTTGGTCTGGAGTCCAAATTGGAGATTTTTGGTTCTAACTGCCGTGGCTTTGTGAGACATGGTGTGAGTAAATGGATTATCTTCAAGACCGTTGGAAAAGCATTCCAGCTGAAGCTGGTTGAGAGAATGCCAAGAGTGTGCAAAGCTGTCATCAAGGCCAACGGTGGCTATTTGATTACTACATGATTCCATGTGTTATTTCATAGTTAGAATGTAGAAAATAGTAAAAATAAAGAAAAGGCCTGAAATGATTAGGTGTCCAAACTTTTGACTGGACAAACACACACACACACACACACACACACAACCGTTCAAAAGTTTGGGGTCACATAGAAATTCTTGTTTTCGAAAGAAAACTCAACATTTTCTGTCCATTAAAATAACATCAAATTGATCAGAAATACAGTGTAGACATTGTTAATGTTGTAAATGGCTATTGTAGCCGGAAACGGCAGATTTTTTATGGAATCTCTACATAGGCGTACAGAGGCCCATTATCAGCAACCATCAGTCCTGTGTTCCAATGGCACGTTGTGTTTGCTAATTCCAAGTTTATCATTTTAAAAGGCTAATTGATCATTAGAAAACCCTTTTGCAATTATGTTAGCACAGCTGAAAACTGTTGTGCTGATTAAAGAAGCAATAAAACGTCCCTTCTTGAGACTAGTTGAGTATCTGGATCGTCAGCAATTGTGGGTTCGATTACAGGCTCAAAATGGCCAGAAACAAATAACTTTCTTCTGAAACTCGTCAGGCTATTCCATGCGAGAAATTGCCAAGAAACTGAAGATCTCGTACAACGCTCTGTACTACTCCCTTCACAGAACAGCGCAAACTGGCTCTAACCATAATAGAAAGAGGAGTGGGAGGCCCCGGTGCACAACTGAGCAGGAGGACAAATACATTAGTGTCTAGTTTGAGAAACAGGCGCCTCACAGGTCCTCAACTGGCAGCTTCATTAAATAGTACCCGCAAAACACCAGTCTCAACGTCAACAGTGAAGAGGCGACTCCGGGATGCTGACCTTGGCAGAGTTGCAAAGAAGAAGTCCAGTGTGTGTTCTTTTGCCTATCTTAATCTTTTCTTTTTATTGGCCAGTCTGAGATATGGCTTTTTCTTTGCAACTCTGCCTAGAAGGTCAGCATCCCGGAAGTCGCCTCTTCACTGTTGACGTTGAGACGGGTGTTTTGCGGGTACTATTTAATGAAGCTGCCAGTTGATTACCTGTGAGGCGCCTGTTTCTCAAACTAGACACTAATGCATTTGTCTTATTGAAATGTTTTGTGCACCGGGCCTCACAGGTCCTCAACTGGCAGCTTCATTAAATAGTACCCGCAAAACACCAATCTAAGATGGGCAAAAAGAACACAGACACTAGACAGAGGAAGATTGGAAAAAAAGTGTTATGGACAGACAAATCGAAGTTTGAGGTGTTCAGATCACAAAGAAGAACATTTGTGAGACGCAGACCAAATGAAAAGATGCAGGAGGAGTAATTGATGCCATCTGTCAAGCATGGTGGAGGCAATGTGATGGTGTAGGGGTGCTTTGGTGGTGGTAAAGTTGGAGATTTGTACAGGGTAAAAGGGATCTTGAAGAAGGAAGGCTATCACTCCATTTCCCAACGCCATACCCTGTGAACGGCGCTTGATTGGAGGCAATTTCCTCCTACAACAGGACAATGACCTAAAGCACAGCTCCAAACTATGCAATAACTATTTAGGGAAGACGCAATCAGCTGGTATTCTGTCTATAATGGAGTGGCCAGCACAGTCACCGGATCTCAACCCTATTGAGCTGTTGTGGGAGCAGCTTGACCGTATGGTACGTAAGAAGTGCCCATCAAGCCAATCCAACTTGTGGGAGGTGCTTCAGGAAGCATGGGGTGAAATCTCTTCAGATTACCTCAACAAATTGACAACTAGAATGCCAAAGGTCTGCAAGGCTGTAATTGCTGCAAATGGAGGATTCTTTGACGAACGCAAAGTTTGAAGGACAATTATTATTTCAATTAAAAATCATTATCTCTAACCTTGTCAATGACTACATTTCCTATTCATTTTGCTATATATTTCTATTCAAACTCATTTCATGTATGTTTTCATGGAAAACAAGGACATTTCTAAGTGACCCCAAAGTTCTGAACGGTAGAGTGTGTGTGTGTATATATATTCTGAAGTGTTATTTTTTGTTGTTGTTGATGTTTTAGACACTAAAACTATCTCCATATATACTTCCATAAATTGTTCTAACTGGTACCGGGGGGACCTTCAGACGAGTCTTGTGAGGCGTCCTAGAACAAAACAACCGACATGTATGTGTTTCGTAAGAGGGGTCATATTAGTGTGTAGCCCAACAGACAGAAGTTGGCAGAAGAGGCCGTACCAAATTCAGACGAGTCCCGTGATGCTTGTGGGGGTCATAATAGTTTTTAGGCCAAACCATTTGGACACTACAGACGTTTTCGCGAGAAGACAGATTTTCGGGATGTCTCATGATCTGACAAACACCGCTCTAGCTCTGCCACCTTTCACCGCAGATGCGGTAGGGCGATATCGGCGGACGTGGTGGATTGAAACGCAACCCATGCAAAAAAACATATTTTAGACGGATTTTGATGGGCATTTTTTTATCATGTTAGATTTCTGCGTGGCCGCGGAAATTGTAAGAGAAGGGTTAAAAAAAATAACCACCAGTCAGAATGATAGACAACAAGAGGTAGTCTTAGATATGCAGAAAAAAGTACTTTAAATAAAAAAAAATACCTAGAATTAACCATAATGATTATGGCTATAGATTGCAGGAAAAAGCTGTTTCAGGTTTTTGAAAAATAATACATTCTCCAATTTACCACCCCCAGCCATCCTCACATACTTTGTGCCTCCACAGGTTTTTCGGGTGCATGACGCCCCTGATTACGATGTGTGAGTGTGTGTGTGTCCTGAACGTCCTGGGATTGTCCTAGCGTAGCGGAGTAATTCTGGTGTTTATATAGGGCAATTACAATGTCGAATGTATGAGCAGGACAGTCCTAATAGTGCACTGACCAGGGAAGTGTCTTCTGTGGGCCACCCTCCAGTCTGTGGGGGAGTGGAAGCAGTGGTAGTCTCCTGGAGCCAGGTACACCACACAGTGGAACAGCTCATTCCCCTCCTTAGTCACCAGCAGATCCTGGAATGAGCTGGGGTCCTCTTCATCTGGGAAAACGCACATAATTGTCAGCAGGCAGGGTGGTAAGGTGCGTCATACAAACCAATCCTAAATCCATAGCCTCTGATCTAGACAAACCAGGATTAGATGGGTCTAATTCTGCTAAAATGAATAAAAATGATTGGGGGCAAGGTGGGTCTATTAGGCCTAAAGTATCAGTTATACAGTATTTACCTACCCAATCCTTTGAGATCAACAAATCTCAAGGGGATTAAGGGTTGAATTAGGATTGGGCATTAGATCCCATTAGACATTAGGAAAGGGAAGAGGTACTCACTTGATGGCTTGATGGTACTGTTGATGGCCTCAGCCCAGGTGTGGGGTCCCAGGAAGGTCTCCAAAGAGTAGGTGACTCCTTTGACTTGCTCCACCTCACAGTTCCGCACCCGCCCAAAGTGCAGGATCTTCCCATCTGCTGGGCTGATCTGAAAAAAGTACTCAGACATTTATGGCTTCAGCCAGGGATCTACTCCTGTATATGTCTATAATATACAGTACCTTCAGAAAGTATTCATACCCCTTGACTTACATTTTACATTTTAGTAATTTAGCAGACGCTCTTATCCAGAGCGACTTACAGTTAGTGAGTGCATACATTATTTTATTTATTTATGTTTATTTTTTTTTTTCATACCCCCCCGTGGGAATCGAACCCACAACCCTGGCGTTGCAAACGCCATGCTCTACCAACTGAGCTACATCCCTGCCAGCCATTCCCTCCCCTACCCTGGACGATGCTGGGACAATTGTGCGCCGCCCCATGGGTCTCCCGGTCGCGGCCGGCTACGACAGAGCCTGTATTCGAACCAGGATCTCTAGTGGCACAGCTAGCACTGCAATGCAGTGCCTTAGACCACTGCGCCACTCGGGAGGAGTGGCGCAGACTTATTCCACATTTTGTTGAGTTACAGCTTGAACTCAAAGTAGATTAAATATTGTTCTCACTCATTTACACACAATACCCCATAATGACAAAGTGAAAACATGTTTTTAGAAATGTTGGCAAATTTATTGAAAATGAAATAGATCTCATTTACATAAGTATTCACACCCCGGAATCAATACATGTTAGAATCAATCACCTTTGGCAGCGATTAAAGCTGTGCGTCTTTCTGGGTATGTCTCTAAAAACACTGCACACCTGGATTGTACAATATCTGCACATTATTATTTTTACAATTCTTCAAGCTTTGTCAAGTTGGTTGTTAATCATTGCTAGACAGCCATTTAAGTCTTGGCATAGATTTTCAAGCAGATTTAAATCAAAACTGTAACTAGGCCACTCAGGAACATTCAATGTTTTCTTGGTAAGCTACTCCACTGTATATTTGGCCTTGTGTGTTAGGTTCTTGTCCTGCTGAAAGGTGAATTTGTCTCCCAGTGTCTGTTGGAAAGCAGACTTAACCAGGTTTTCCTGTAGGATTTTGCCTGTGCTTAGCTCTATTGCATTTCTTTTCATCCTAAAAAAACTCCCTAGTCCTTGCCGATGACAAGCACACCTATAACATGAAGCAGCCACAATCCACACTTGAAAATATGAAGAGTGGTTCTCAGTGATGTGTTGTATTTTCCCCAAACAGAACACTTTTGTATTCAGGACATAAAGTTCATTTCTTTCCCACATTTTTTGCAGTTTTACTTTAGTACCTTATTGCAAACAGGATGCATGTTTTCACTCTTGTCATTTAGGTTAGTATTGTGGAGTAAATACAATGTTGTTGAGTCATCCTCAGTTTTCTCCCATCACAGCCATTAAAAACTCGGTTTTAAAGTCACCATTGGTGAAATCCCTGAGCAGTTTCCTTCCTCTCCGGCAACTGAGTTAGGAAGGACGCCTGTATCTTTGTAGTGACTGGTTGCATTGATACACCATCCAAAGTGTAATTAATAACTTCACCATGCTCAAAAGGGGTATTCAATGTCTCCTTTAAAAAAAAATGTGTTACCTACCAATAGGTGCCCTTTGCGAGACATTGGAAAACCTCCCTGGTCTTTGTGGTTGAATCTGTGTTTGGAAATGTACTGCTCAACTGATGGACCTCACAGATAATCGTTGTGTGGGGTACAGAGATGAGGTAATCATAAAGAAATAATGTTAAACACTATTATTGCACATAGTGAGTCCATGCAACTTGTGACTTAAGCACATTTTTACTCCTGAACTTATTTAGACTTGCCATAACAAAAGGGGTTGAATACTTATTGACTCAAGACATTTCAGCTTTTCATTTTTTATAAATTTGTTAACGTTTCTAAAAACATAATTCCACTTTCACATTATGGGGTAGTGTGTGTAGGCCAGTGACACACAAACAAAATTGAATCCATTTAAAATTCAGGCTGTAACAATTGTTTTGGGGGAAAGGTCAAGGGGTGTGAACACTTTGAAGGCACTGTACCTTTCACACCAAGACGTTTTTCAGCCAACTTTACCAATGCCGCCAACTTTTCGCAGCCTTTTCTTTATATCTGCTGGTAACAAAGCCTGTACTTTTATTTCCACCATCATGATTGCTTTATTGTATTTAAAAGTCCTGCCAACCCCTCAGTATAAACATTGCCTTTCATATTACAGTCTGACACACATTAAATCATGAACATTCTATTGTTGTCTGACATCAAACTTGTCATTGTCAATCAGAAAGCGTCACAGAAATGCTTTTAATGCATTTATTCTCTCCATTTAAATGTATGTAGTTCTATCCTTGTGCTGTTCTTGTCCATTGTCACAAATACTTTGGCATTTAGCCTGGGGGAACACACACTGCCATTTCATTTATTTATTTTTTGACTTTGACAGATAAACATATAAAAGGGCCGTATATTTAGCAAATAAATGATGGGTTACTACGCATATGTTTCTAACTTGGCCTACTAGCGATTTGTAGTTTCTGTCTTTAGTCAAAATAACTGTTGGAAAGAGCAGATTCTATAGCAAAAAAATTAGGACATGGGCTCACAAAAATGAGGCTCCATTTCAAAATAAAACGTTTGTTATATGACAGTGGTTCCACACGTTCTAAATATCATTTCTATTTTATTCTGTTATATTCCATTATATTAAATCTTACTATAAATTATAGGCCCTGTGTGTTGACTGATCAGGGCATGGGGAAAGTAAAGTGTGTCTCTTGTCTGTTTAATTAACAAAATAAGAACTATTTTGCAGTCTTTCCAGTTTGCAGTCTTTGCTAGTTTGCAGTCTTTCCAGCTTCAGTTTGAAGTGACTGTGTTAGCTGTGTTGTTGGCTAGCTCCTCTGAACAACAGTGTCCTGACGAGAGAGCACATGTTCTATGCCAGGCGAAATCGCACCTCATTAGCGCATTGTTATGGATGTCTCCAAATAAATGTCACTAGAAAACAGCTTAAACAAATGCAAATGCAGCTACTTTCCTGTTATTCTGGCTGCACTTTTTGACGTGACTGTAAGTTAGCCGTAGTTGGCTAGCTAGCAAGCAAGGGATAAGAACGTTGCCAGCCAGTATGGAGCAATTCCATAGTAAGGTCAACCTGAGCATGAAAAAAACAAAATAGCTTATTTCCATTAAGTGACATACATGACATGCTGTACATTCTATGACATACACTGACGAGGTGAAAGCTATTATCCCTTATTGATATCACTTGTTAAATCCACTTCAAATCAGTGTAGATGAAGGGGAGGAGACAGGTTTAAGGATTTTTAAGCCCTGAGTCAATTGAGACATGGATTGTGTATGTGTGCCATTCAGAGAGTGAATGGGCAAGACAAAAAATATAAGCCCCTTTGAATGGTAGTAGGTGCCAGGCGCACCGGTGTGTGTCAAGAACTCCAACGCTGCTGGGTTTTTCACGCTCAACAGTTTCCCGTGTGTATCAAGAACAGTCCACCTCCCAAAGGACATCCAGCAAACTTGACAACTGTGGGAAACATTGGAGTCAACATGGGCCAGCATCCCTGTGGAACGCTTTCGACACCTAGAGTGTCCATGCCACAACGAATTGAGGCTTTACGCTGCTGCTACTCTGTTTATTATTTATGCATAGTCACTTTAACTCTACCCACATGTACATATTACCTCAATTACCTTGACTAACCAGTGCCCCCGAACATTGACTCTGTACCGGTACCCCCTGTATATAGCCTCCTTACTGTTATTTTATTTTACTGCTGCTCTTTAATTATTTGCTTTTAATTTTTTACTTATCTATTTCTTACTTAACACTTTTATTTTCTTAAAAACTGCATTGTTGGTTAAGGGCTTTTAAGTAAGCATTTCACTGTAATGTCTACACCTGTTGTATTTGGCGCAGGTGGCAAATAACATTTGATTTGATCTGGCTAGTGTGGCTTGACCGGACTGGGTTATGTGTTGTGAAGCTAGCCACAATAAGGATTAGCCACAAGTGGAATTTGCGCGTCACCTTCAAAATAAAAGTCCCTATTTGAAAGTGATGCAAATGGTTACAATATCATATTTAGACTAGATCATGTTAAACACGGTTGGAGTGTTGGAATGTGGAGCAATGGAATTAGGTATCAGTCTACTCGGTGACACCCACAGAACACAACTGTGAAGAGTTTACACAAATATTAGCATAGTAACGCTTATTGCGGGAGTTTGACTGTGGGAAATCACCTCCCCAGTCAGCCTATTGTGCATATTGACATTCATATTGCACTGTACAGCCTTACCTATGGATTGGGGATAAATGAAATGGGGTATCAGTCTACTCCGTACACAAGTGCTTTTTTCCCTCCAAAGTCCTCCCCGGAGTTATGAGACTCCAAAACATCCACATATTGTTTTCCTCTGGAATAGTGTTCAATACACATAGTAGGTTGCCTGGTATAATAATTGTTGCTCATTTCAGTGGTTTCAGAGTCCTGCAATAAGAGCTATGATGCGAATGAGCAGACTGATACCCCATGTCATTGATCCACAATCCATAGGTAAGGCTGTACAGTGAAATAAGTATGCCCCAATGCAATTCTAAAGTTTAATACATCAACAGTGTGATTTCAACAGATTGTCAAATTAACAAAGTATTTTGATGAATTTATATAACATTTCAACATCGTTTAGCACTATCTATTCCATTATGGCATGATTCCACTATTTGTATTCATTTGCATCACTTTCAATTAGATACTTATTTTGAAGGCGAACCAAATTCCACTATTGTGGCTAGCTTCACATAGGTGGGTCAGACCATCATTAAGCAAATACGAACTGTCTTATAAATCAGGGGTATTTTAGATGACACCTAGCTAGACATTTAGCTACTGAAACAGATTACGTAGTTTTGGGTATGCTCATAATCATTAAGGACTTGGGAGTTTTTCAGGATGAAAAAGAAACTTAGTGGAGCTAAGCACAGGCAAAATCTTAGAGGAAAACATGGTTCAGTCTGCTTTCCACCAGACACTAGGAGAGTATTTCACCTTTCTGCAGGACAATAACCTAAAACAAGGCAAATCTACACTGGAGTTGCTTACCAAGAAGACAGTAAATGTTCCTGAGTGGCAGAGTTCACAGTTTTGACTTAAATCTACTTGTAAATCTATGGCAAGACCTGAAAATGGTTGTATAGCAATGATCAACAACCAATTTGACAGAGCTTGAAGAATTCAAAAAATATAAAAATGTGCAAATGTTGCACAATCCAGGTGTGGAAAGCTCTTAGAGACTTACCCAGAAAGACTCGCAGCTGTAATCGCTGCCAAAGGTGCTTCTACAAAGTATTGACTCAGGGGTCTCCGCATTTCATTTTCAATACATTTGCAAACATTTCTAAAAACATGTTTTCACTTTGTCATTATGGGGTATTGTGTGTAGATGGGTGAATTCTGAAACAAAATGTGGAATAAGTCAAGGGGTATGAATACTTTGAAGGCCCTGTACACACGCACACTCACCACGCAGTGCGAGTCGCACACGGGCCGGACAGCCGGTTTGAGTTTCCGTCTAAAGAACTCTCCCAGGTTCCTGTATTGAATTAGGTCTTCCACAGCTGCCTCCTGCATGTTGACGCCAAACGTCCAGATATACAGACTGTAAACTGGCTTCCTCAGCCAGGTCGGTAGCTCCACCTGGTTCAGGCGACCCCAGGCCCGAGACAGCAGCCGTGTTGGGATGGTCTTGTACAGAGCAACCTGGGCCAGGGAGGGAGAGAAGGTTGGGTTAATCTACACATAGCTAAACTGCATCCTGGCTTCTCCCAGACCTGTTTGTGCTGTCTGGCCAAGTCCTATGCTCATTGTTGCGCAAAACAACTATAGGAGTTGGCCAGACTACACAAACAGATTTGAGACCAGGCTAACTGCTTCTCTACTGGGAGAACTCTACCAGGAGAAGCTAGTACCCTGGCAGTCGAGGCTATAGAGTTGCCTAGATCACTAAGCTTGACAAGAGTATTACAAGTATTTGCCACCCACATCACTACGTCAACTGCATCAAGGCCATGTGCAGGATAGGTAGCAAGCGAGAGGTGGACAGGGTTTTAACGCGCCTGAATAGATCAAACTTTTGCACACCTGAAGTACTGTCTTCATTTACAGGTGCCTTGTAGAAGCCAAACGTGAACGTTAGAACTCGCACAGACCATGTACATTTGCAAATTAAACTCTTCCAGAGATGCAAAGTTTAAGTCGCATAGAAAGCCATATAGTCACAGCTTTACAGACACCTTAAACTGCACTCACCAAAACAAGGCCAAGTCTGAGCAGCAGCATCAAAAAAACGAAACTTAATTGAGTAGCCAATTAAATCCTGTTCTATCCGAGTTATCTTCATATCCATGAGATGTGACCAGTAGCTGAAGGAGGCGCTTGTCGCTTGACTTCTCTGCATCGTGGCGGCAGGCAGCGGCCACATGTGTAGAAGAACCTCCATCTGCTACTCCGAGATGCTTACAATGCGAAGCAAGAAATTCAGTGTGCAAGGAAGTGAATGAAGTATGACAGAGCTGTCTGATGATCTCACCTCGCACCTCTCCTAGCACCTGCAAGCAGTCAGGTCTCTTTAGAATCTCCATCTACAGAGCTCCAGATGGTTTGCCGCTTGATTTGCGACTGCTGCTCGCTGGCATCATGGATGGCTTCTGCATAGTTAAGTGGATTAGTCAGCTTCTGGACCAGCTTAGCTAACCCCCCCTTTAAAAATGTTTGCGAATCGGACCCGTACATGTCCTACAAGAACTCATCTGATATTATGAACTGGGTGGTTTGAGCCCTGAATGCTGATTGGCTGAAAGCCTGTGGTACACCACGGTATGACAAAACATGTATTTTTACTGCTCTAATTACATTGGTAACCAGTTTATAATAGCAATAAGGCACCTTGAGGGTTTGTAGTATATAGCCTATATACCACGGCTAAGGGCTGTATCCAGGCACTCTGCATTACGTTGTGCATAAGAACAGCCCTTAGCCGTGGTATATTGGCCATATATCACACCCCCTCAGGACTTACTGCTTTAATATAGTTGGGGTTTAATATGCACAACTTGTTTAATTTAATACAACGCTAATACTGACATATGTGGAAGCGAGCCTTGTGTTAATTCTAACTTGCTGACTGTGCACTTTAGGGATCGGCCGCCTAGGGGATCTCCCACCCCTTATCCCTGCCGAACAGCTGAAGCCCTTAACAATATTCCATCTCAAATCCAACGCGGCTACGAATAGACCGCCGGCACATTAAAAGATGCAATAAAACAGCTATTTCTTTACATGGCCTCAGATACGAGGTCAGGATAATACACATAGAACATCAGATTTCAAATAAACCTGCAATAGAATAGGATTTTAACAGGTAGGTAGGAGGGGGTCTAGAAAAGCCATTTGACCCAAATTGTTGACGGCAGGATTAAAAACCTTCAAGCTGATCCGAGTTCAGACTGTAAACAGAAAAACAAAAACGGAGAAATACAGGAGCCTAACATTGCCGATAGAAATAGAATGTATAGATCGAGCTGACAAACTGATTCAATGTGCATGATATACTTCTGTCTGTTCTACAACATTTCTATCCGAATGTTCTGGAACGTTGCGCACCCTCCTGAATTAAAGCCACACACAGGTGTTGCCTGCGGAGTCTGGATCCGCCCCACATAACTCATAGGCAGTTAGGTCCTGTAGCTCTAGAGATAGATCACAGATCTTGTCCAAACTGCAGAAAATAGATCCGCTGAGAATATTGGTGGCAGACAAGTTCTAGCTCCATGATTAAGTCCCATTTGATTAATGGTCCAAGGGAGGTGGAATAGATCAACATTTTATTAACATTAAATGCTTATTGGCTGATAAGTGAGAAACCACATCCACTCACTCGCCCCTTGACCGTGACAGCGTGAGCGAGCAGAGCAGGAGAACAAAACATTCCTCTGTTATTGTGTGGACCACACAAAGGGCCTTTGATAGGCGTTATGATAGAGTCTGTACAGAGATCAGAGCTCTGCAGGTCCATATGGGTCTGGCCATCTGTGACGGTGGAGGAGGGGGGTGCACCTCACATCAGAGCACCTCTAGCCGAGAACACCTAGGGCCACGACGCAGGGGAAACAAATTATGTTTGGTAGGAACTAACGACCATAGGGGTTATTCGAGTGGATTTGAATAGTGCCTTTTCAAGTGTTCAAGCTGTGCTTTACCTTGTACGGGAGGAACTGGTATCCTACTCCACTAGCATTATATGACTTGGTACCTCTGGATGCTGAGATTGACTTTCACACACACAAACCCACAGACAAATGCTGTTGCAGCTTGTTAGTAGGGAAGTACTCACCCTGCTTGTTGGTCTCCAGCCAACCTTGGCCAGGGGCTTGAGTGCGTCGAAGGTCAGGAAGTAGTAGAGGAAGCTGAGCGGCCATGAGCGCAGCCGCAAGATGGGCCGGGACATGCAGCTCAACTGGCCAAGACGACGCCGCAAGGCCAACTGAGGGAACTGCAACCTGCGCAACCATACAAAGCCCTGGGTTGGCACAGGTATGGCAGTGTACACAGACAGAGTCTCAGACTCACGCAAACACTGACAGACAGGACAGACTCACATTCAGACACCCACAGACTCTCTCAACCACGCACACCCACAAAGCACGTGAAAAATGACAGAATGCACATGCTTGTGTCTACGCAAGGACACGACATAAAGACGTGGGTAAATACACGTATAATGGGAAAAACTCAATGACACAACCGCACAAACAGAAATAGCTGACAGCTCCCTCTTACTTTATACTGTTCAAACACAATCACACAACACATTCCTATCGGGAAAGAGGCTACTGTACGTTCACACGTTGACTGCACATCCTCCCCAAACTCTCCTCAACCATGCAGATGATACTCTTCGACAGTATCGCATCTAAACCCCCACATGGTTAGTTTCCTAAAAATTCCTCATGTATTAATATTTCATACAGAATCCACTCTACTCTTCAGACTGCTTTAAGTCAAGTTAACTGTCTCCTTAAAATATCCTCATTTCTAACTCCCATCCATCCAGATCTCAATATGCCATGTTAGAATTGCTCAAAGATAAATCCATCACTTTATTCTCTTAGCCGTAGCCGATAAATGCGGAGAGGGATTTTAATGACAAACTCTGTGCTCTCGAAGTGTGGGCGGTAAACACACAGCTAAAAATGCATAGAAACAGCATATCCACCCAACAGCCAAATCCATCATCTGTGCATGACTATGCCTGGCTGCACTGTATAAGTCTATTAAAATAGGCTTCAGTGGTGGTTGTATTGTCCTGACTCTGTACAACAGGAACAACTAGGGCAGCAGTGATGCAGAGGTGGACTGGACTCTAAGGGGGAGGCCAATGTTACCTCAACAAGGGGGTCAAACAAACGTGTTGTTTAAACAGTATGGGCTAGATAAATTTTTTTAATGTCAGTTTGTCGCATTGAAGTCAAAAGGCCTGGATAACAGTTGAGTATAGAAAATATGCTATGTAAAAACAATTACTCTTTTATTTGGAAATAGGAGTTACAAACGGACAATAGCCTACAACGCAAGTGATAGCTATCGGTGTTCTAGCTAGGTTAACTAAAAATTATGCCAAAAGAATTCAGTGTGTATGGCAGGTATAGCCAAGTGACACGGAGGTGCTCCGCAAAGTCCAGAATTGAGAGAAGAGAAAGAGGTATAACACAGGCTAGCTGTATAGCCTCTGTGGGGCTATCTATAGGCCTAAAGAACACCTGTCCACACTAATCAGGATAAAGGCAAAGCATGAGGCCAAAGCCATGCATGGTTTAGCCAATGACACCCTAACGGACATCCGTCAGTCAGCAGCACCTTAACACTAATCACTGGCACACACACACACATGCTGCCAGCTCGAGAGGACCCGTAGGCCAACAACCCTAATGACAACAATGGAGTAGGGCTGGAAACTTTCAATTGTCAAACAGTTGACCCCGACGATCTCTCACGCATGCACACACAGAAGCACACAGTCCAGAGACACACTGACATGACACACACTCAAGAGAAATACACACGCAACAACAAAAAATGGTCTAGTGACTGGCAAACAGCAGTCAGCTCCCGTCGCTCTGCTGTGTCGTCTATATTCATCCCTGTGTTATTATAGACCTGTTTGGCCTCTGTGTTGAATCAGATCAATTGAATGGTGCTTCACGGGCTGGTGTTGATGCCCCCTTTGTGAAACTGCAGCCAGTGCTGAGTGATCGTCTCCCAGCACAGCCATTCACAGACACAACACTGCCAATATTGTTCCACTATCTGAATACACATGTATCTGAGGATGGCCTTCAGATCCGGAGCAGTGTGTGGAGCTGTGCGGTTCAGTGGGTCCGCACACACATCCCCATCACCACATTTTACTGTCTAATTTCTCAAGGGTTTGATCACCACAACACGCCAGTCATTAAAGAAAAGGCTATCATTAACACATCTGAATGATCCACAGCAAGAGATTTAAGATACGCCCGATTCTGAAAATCTGGAATGAAAATTCCTGATTCATCAGGGAAAATCCCATCTCTGATGACTTTGGCTACACGGATAGCTGGGTACGGGATGACTTCCACTGAGGCATGCTGCTGATGTGGCTGTATGGTGCTGTGCGTAGTGTACTGGAGATCGACTGCTCTCCTCAGTCACCGCTGGCTGGCAGGCCTAGTTTGGACTGCAGAGCGTTAGACTGGGCCACTCATCCTCACTAAGCTCTAAACAGGACAGCAAGGTTTACTACACAGCCTGGGACAACAGCCTATAATTAGATTTGTGCTAATGGAGCTAATATAGCTTTAGGGCAATTCCACAGTAACGGAATTGCGCCGAGACTCCGATTTTTCACTTAAAATGTATGCCAAACAAAAACCATGCACAATGACTACTTTTAACAATTGACACAGAACATTTTACAAAAACACATTTAAAATGGAAGAACTGTGCAGATGCCAATTTAGGTAAAACACGTTTTTTTTTTTTTATGTGTCCACGGTTTCCAAAAACTCTTAAATATCTGCTCCAAATTAAGATTCAAAAAGATGTCTGCAGAAAGAATGGGGTGTAAGCTATGACATGACACATTGACTTTGAAAAAAATAATTGCTTTTGGTTATTGAACTACTGTAAGTGAAGTGAATTTACACCCGGTAACGGAATTGCATCGTGGGTCCCTGAACTGTATAACACAGAAATGCATAATTATGGATATGAATGTAACTCTTTATAGCGATGTATACTAAATTAGGTACAAAAAGGGTAGAAATATTATTCTACACACAAACAAGACAACATTTAAATAATCAGACATGTATGTTTCACAAGGTTGGACATCAAAGTACAGCAGAGTATAGTTCAGTACAACTCTAGTGAGTTCTACTATACTGTACAAAACTATACGCTGCTTTTCTTTACTGTACTCTGCTGTACTATACTCCACTTTTCTTTACTGTACTCTGCTGTACTATACTCCACTTTTCTTTACAGTATTGTACTGTCCAAACTTGTGAACCCAACTGTTTGTGACTACTAGGATTTTCTATTGTAGCCAATTCAATTGCAGAAATTCCATTACCGTTTTTTTCCTGAAATTCCGTTAAAGATTTGGTAACAGAATTGAGTTTTAATCACTTAATAATTAAAATCAACAAAATTGATATCAGTAAAAACACAAACTAATTGATAGACCTAACTTTACTTGTTACTTCTGTGAACTTTCATTATCCTCCCTCATGAGGGAGAGAAATTAGAAAATATCTTAAAGATACACTATATACACAAAGGTATGTGGACACCCCTTCAAATTAGTGGATTCGGCTATTTCAGCAACACAAGTTGCTGACAGGTGTATAAAATAGAGCATACAGCCATGCAATCGCTATAGACAGACTAAATATGTGTTGATATTAGTAGGCAGGGGTCTTTCCTTTAAATTGATGGTGTTTTTATGTATTTCTAATACCTTAAGACTTTTTGGTAGATGCTTTCTAAGACCACTTTTCCATCTGTTTGACCAGAAATCAAAGCCTTTGCTTATTCCTAATAATTAGGATGGAAAATGGTTGAAAAAATAAAATACTTTAACTTCCCAAAAAAGCTTTAATTTGACACCCAATCTGACATGCTTCTATGAAATTCACTTTGGTGCTCATGGGTCCTTTTACGTGGAAATGAACCTTAAAGTCGTTCATTTGATGTAATTGAATCTCAATTCTCATACAAGTCTACCAGGGCAGAATAATTTAAATATGATTTACCGTAGCCTGTCATATGCCTTGGTTTCAGCAATCGTAAAGTATAGCTTAAAAACAACCCAGCCAACCGGATTAATGCAATAAAAACCAACACGTAAAGAATACACTTCTATAATTGTTTTATTTCCCGGCTGTACTGTCTCCCTCCACAACACAAAACGCACACTCCAGCAGCACCCCCCCCCCTCTTCCTCAATGCAGACACATATTAGCCAATCACTGGCTGCATAGCATTCTCTCTCTCCTGCCTCTAACGGCTCGCTCTATCTACATTAGCAGAATCTCTCAGCCTCCACAAAGCTCTCTAAAACTCCATCTATCCCTCACTGCTTTCAGGCCCACTTCCGAGGTAAGCCTGGCTAAATGGCTGCAAAGGGCTGGCCCTGGCACAGATACATCGTTCCCCCTTAGACTGGCCTGCCTGGACGGGGCTTATGGGCATTACGCTGCAATTAGGCCAAACAGAGGCTTTGTGCTGCCTGGGACATAGAGGGAAAAAGAGAAAAGGATCGAGAAAAAGAGAGCAAGAGAGAAAGCCCGGGCTTTGGGAGAGTGGACCGACTGTGCCCACTCAATATTTCACCCCCTCGGCTCACGGTTGTCCCCCTGCTCATGTAGCAGCCAGGCCACAGCTCAACAACGTACACACAACCCCCCACTCACAAACCATAACTGCTAGAGCTTCAATCTCACAGCAGAACATCACATTAATAATCCCCTCTATGCTCGCTCTATTCATCCCTCTCTCACTTGCCTTTAATCCATCTCCCTCTCTTACGTACTGTAAACAATCACTCTATAGGCTAAGTATCATCGATTCTCTCTCCGCGTCCGTCCTGTCTTTGTCACGTCATGTCCAGCAGGCATGTTATACACATGCTAAGGCATCCTGTGGTCATTAATCTCTTGTTCTCGCTCTCATTCTCTCCCAGCATACCTGAATCGGTTCCTGTGGCTGAGTGCCCGGGCCCCCTGGCCTGAGATGTTTCCGGCGTTGCCTCCCCCCTGCTCCCCGGCAGCTCCTGCGGAGCTGATTGTCCGGAGCCGACGCACATCAACCCTAACTCTGTGGAGATTGTAGCAAGACGGAGGGCTGTGCAAAGACCTGCAGCATCTCACCATTTCCCTGAGCTCTGCGCTGCTGCACGCCACAGGCTCCTGTTCTGACACATGATCACTGAAGGCGTGGGGGGGGATTACAGACGCTTCTCTCTCACTGGGGCTGCTGCTCTCTCGCTCGGTGTGCGCACTTCTGTGCTCTTGCTGGATCTCGTTCTCTCGCTCCACTACTCTCAAGCCCAGCCCCCTTCTCTGGTAGGACGGATGTGACGTGGGGGGGAGGGGGTAGGGGGGAATTGGTTCGCTCCTCTTCTCTCTCGGTCTTCTCGCTCTCAGGGGCCTCTGGCAGTTATTTTGTACTAGAGAATGGGCACCTTCTGGGTGGGGTGACTTTTTCACGGCTGATCTGAGAGGAGCTGCAGCAGACTGGTGATGGTGAGAGACTGAAGGAGGACTGTTCTGCCTGGGGGGAGGGGCAGCTTGATGATAGAGAGAAATAATACAATACCTTTTGTAGCAATTCCTAGGTTGTTGATGTAAAGAATATTTGTTGGTCCATGGTGTGTAATGAGGAGCAACCAGACGCTGCACTTCACACATTTATGAAATTGCTTACCCCCCTTACTAATAAGCACGCACCCATTAAGAAAATGACTTTTAAAACAGTTAAATCCCTGTGGATTGATGAGGAATTCAACAACTGTATGGTTGAGCGGGATGAGGCAAAAGAAATAGCAAATAAGTCTGGCTGTACAACCGATTGGCAAACGTACAGCAAATTGAGAAATCATGTGACTAAACGGAATAAAAGGAAGAAACTACACTATGAAACAAAGATAAATGACAATGATAGTCAAAAGCTTCGGGGCACCTTAAATGAAATTTTGGGTAAAAATGCAAACTCTGCTCCATCATTCATTGAATCAGATGGCTCATTCATCACAAAACCCACCGATATTGCCAACTACTTTAATTATTTTTTTAATTGGCAAGATTAGCAAATTTAGGCATGACATGCCAGCAACAAACACTGACACTACACACCCAAGTATATCTGACCAAATTATGAAAGACAAGCATTGTAGTTTTGAATTCAGTAAAGTAAGTGTGGAAGATGTGATGTACAGTTGAAGTCGGAAGTTTACATACACCTTAGCCAAATACATTTAAACTCAGTTTCACACAATTCCTGACATTTAATCCTAGTAAACATTCCCTGTCTTAGGTCAGTTAGGATCACCACTTTATTTTAAGAATGTGAAATGTCAGAATAACAGTAGAGAGAATGATTTATTTCAGCTTTTATTTATTTCATCACATTCCCAGTGGGTCAGAAGTTTACATACACTCAATTAGTATTTGGTAGCATTGCCTTTAAATTGTTTAACTTGGGTCAAATGTTTTAGGTAGCCTTCCACAAGCTTCCCACAATAGGTTGGGTGAATTTTGGCCCATTCCTCCTGACAGAGCTGGTGTAACTGAGTCAGGTTTGTAGGCCTCCTTGCTTGCACACACTTTTTCAGAAATTGCTTCCATGGATGAACCAGACTTGTGGAGGTCTACAGTCTTTTTTCTGAGGTCTTGGCTGATTTCTTTAGATTTTCCTGTGATGTCAAGCAAAGAGGCACTGAGTTTGAAGGTAGGCCTTGAAATACATCCACAGGTATACCTCTAATTGACTCAAATGATGTCAATTAGCCTATCAGAAGCGTCTAAAGCTGTTTTAAGGCACAGTCAACTTAGTGTATGTAAACTTCTGACCTACTGGAATTGTGATAGTGAATTATAAGTGAATGAATCTGTCTGTCAATTTTTAAAAAACTGATAAAAATACACCTTATGGAACAGCGGGGACTGTGAAGCAACACAAACATAGGCACAGACACACATGGATGCGTTGTGGTTATGTGGTAGTAGAGTAGGGGCCTGAGTACACACACTTAATATGTAGTGAAACCTGTTGTGAATGTATAGTAACATTTTTATGTATAACTGCCTTAATTTTGCTGGACCCCAGGAAGAGTAGCTGCTGCCTTGGTAAGAGTTCAGTTCCTACTCTATTAGTCTCTCAACCAACTTGTCTTGACCAAAGAGGGAGGCGGTCCCTAAAAGCAGGAAACAGGAACCACTTCCTTCCTTATCTGAAACACTGACGCTACAGACTACGTATCCTGTGAGATGACTTATAATAAGTTACTGTAAAGACATAGGAACTGTCCAAATAAAACTTCATTCTGTTTATCCCTAAATTCACTTAGGTTTTTGACCACTGTTTACTGTAACAGTTCCCTATTAAACATTCTCTCTTCTGTTTACCTAGATTACATTGAACAATTTCCATAGTTACGTATTTCAGATAATGCTTTATACAAAGTTAATCTGAAAGTATTGAGTTTTTCCTTATTTAAAAAAAGAAACTCAGAACCTTACCTTCTCTTTGTGTTTTTTTGTCTGAAGTGCGAATACAATTGACAAAGAGGAAGTCTCTCACTGGGGAAGGGGAAGTCTCTCACTGCGTGCTAGTTAAAGGTGAAGGCTAGTCAGGTCCCTCTACTCTCTCACAACAAAGTGCTGCATACTGGTTGAACACAAGCCCTTTAAGAGAGGGTGGGCGGGCAGATATCACATTCAAAAGACTATCATTGCTGGGTGATGTCATCAGAAAAAGTAGCCTGGTTGTCCAAACGCACAAATCTACTGTAGGTGTACAATATCTCATCAAGTTTACAGCGAGGCTAACTTAAAAGCTACAATCTTTAATTGATACAATAAAGTGTTCTGCTGTGGATACAAGGACTGACCATCCATGATATCAAATGTATAGATTTAACCATGTTGAGGCTATACAGAGTTTGTTTACATTTACGTTGTTTCCAAACATTGGAGTAAAACAGCTTATATTTTGAGTTCTGATGGGGTATGACAGTTGAACTAACCTCATGAAGCATTCATAAAAGTTATATTCTTCAAGAATTAATGGGTATATATATATATATATCTCATTAATTTATCAGTACAAAATGGATACAGCAACTAAGGATTCTTTAACAATTTGGGGTGATGAACTGTGTACCGACATGCATATTGATATAGGCTGAGCAGAGATGGAAAGCACCACAATTAGCCTATTTAAATATATTTATATATTTGGTCATTTTATTTGGATAGTCTGGATTTTTCATCTATAGATCATACTACTAACAAACTATCTGTTGATAAGCAACTGCTTGCCGGTTAGGTTTAAAATAACGGGTAGGGTAAGGGTTAATGTTAAGTTTAGGGATAGGATAAGGATAGAGCTAGGGTTAGTAGATATAGTTGAAACGTTACTGATAGTCTGTAAAGCATCTACAGATGGACTATCCAAATAAAAAGTGTTAAGAAATATTTAAAATATTCTAAATGTATCCATCCACATTTATCCATACTACATGCAAATGTAAAATAAGTTATACAAATACCTCAGTGGCACTATCTTTACAGCCAGATTTAGCAGTTCCTCTTTGGGTAGAGACTAGAGAGTGAGACAGACAGTGAATGCTCCTATCCATGTAACTGGCTCAGAATGCTGCGTGTCTTTGGCTTGTCGGAGGGAAAATAGAGGGCCCCTCGCCAGTCTGCTCATTACCATTCCATTCACGTCTCAGCCCAAATTCACCCGGAGAAAAACTCAGGCCATTGTTAGGAGGGGATGTGCATTCGTGTCTTAGGAAAGCATGGGCCAAACTCTCTGTATGTATTTGTTCCAATGTGTTGTGTCATGATGAGTGTGTTTACTAGGGCTGGGCGATAAACTGTATTAAAAAAAAATAATAATAATAATAATAATAATAATTTCTATAACGATATATTAATGTTTTATTTGTCACATTTAATAATTGGCAATCATTAATTTGTATCGCAATCAGAGATGGGCAAAATATGCATCAAATTGTATTTTGTTACAAATACAAGATACTCTAAAGACCAACGAATCAAAACAAAAACACTTTTACAAAGTATTGTATTATATAGAAGCAAACCGGATGGACATCATGAAAATGATCGGAGAGGTTGAGAGTAGAAGTAGTTCAGGAGAAAGAACAAAACAAAAATGTAATTACTGTAAAATTGACTGTGTCCATAAAATGTAGATAGTGGGTATGGGCTGGAAGTAGAGGCCTAGGTGTTGTTGTTCACTAGTTTACTCCAAGTGGGGAAAGGGTGGCGGGGTTGGAAAGTAATAAAGGGGAATATACTGTATATATATTTTTAAGGATATGCATGTATGTATGTATGCGTGTATATATATATATATATATATATATATATATATATATATATATATATATATATATATATATATATATATATATATATACACACACACACATGGGGGATTGGAAGTGATGCTGACAATTACATTGATGGAAGTTACAATCTGCAATATTAAGCTGCCCCCCCCCAAAAAAAAGTATTGTTTTAAGATCAAATAAAACCATAAACATATATATACACACACACACAGTGGGGAGAACAAGTATTTTATACACTGCCGATTTTGCAGGTTTTCCTACTTACAAAGCATGTAGAGGTCTGTCATTTTTATCATAGATACACTTCAACTGTGAGAGACGGAATCTAAAACAAAAATCCAGAAAATCACATTGTATGATTTTTAAGTAATTAATTTGCATTTTATTGCATGACATAAGTATTTGATACATCAGAAAAGCAGAACTTAATATTTGGTACAGAAACCTTTGTTTGCAATTACAGAGATCATACATTTCCTGTAGGTCTTGACCAGGTTTGCACACACTGCAGCAGGGAATTTGGCCCACTCCTCCATACAGACCTTCTCCAGATCCTTCAGGTTTCGGGGCTGTCGCTGGGCAATACGGACTTTCAGCTCCCTCCAAAGATTTTCTATTGGGTTCAGGTCTGGAGACTGGCTAGGCCACTCCAGGACCTTGAGATGCTTCTTACGGAGCCACTCCTTAGTTGCCCTGGCTGTGTGTTTCGGGTCGTTGTCATGCTGGAAGACCCAGCCACGACCCATCTTCAATGCTCTTACTGAGGGAAGGTGGTTGTTGGCCAAGACCTCGCGATACATGGCCCCATCCATCCTCCCCTCAATACGGTGCAGTCGTCCTGTCCCCTTTGCAGAAAAGCATCCCCAAAGAATGATGTTTCCACCTCCATGCTTCACGGTTGGGATGGTGTTCTTGGGGTTGTACTCATCCTTCTTCTTCCTCCAAACACGGCGAGTGAAGTTTAGACCAAAAAGCTCTATTTTTGTCTCATCAGACCACATTAACTTATCCCATTCCTCCTCTGGATCATCCAGATGGTCATTGGCAAACTTCAGACGGGCCTGGACATGCGCTGGCTTGAGCAGGGGGACCTTGCGTGCGCTGCAGGAT